GAACGATCTGGAGAAGTTTCCTTCAATTCTTTTTCTCTTTAATTTTTTGAACATTGATGGAGCGTAGTCGTAAGTTTTTTCCGCAGGCACATCAGCGGGCTCATGGAATATCAAGTTGGAGAATATGAAGGTTAGCTCTAGCGGAATGGAAGGTCTTGATTTTGTTGCAGGTGGCCGCTGCTGAAAGGGAAAGAATTGCTCTATTGCGAGGCATGGTGACGATGGTCATACGAATACTTCTGTGAGTCAACTGATATGCGGGGATTATGAGCTAGTCATTTTGTATCAGCGATACATGGGATCTGCTTTTTCCAGGTACTTCGCAGTTCATCTCGTAGCGGCTTTATTCATCTTCGCACTTTCGCCCGTCCAATACTTCCCATCCTCTTGGTGGAGTAAGTCATGTTACCTACCTATTCGGAGTCTCTGATTATGAACCGATCGGCTTTGATGCTCACTCTAATCTAGATTATATATCTAAACTAGAGACATGAGTGATTGTTGAAACCATCATGGTTAATGGAAATATGGATAACTTTCGTATCGTTTTTTTCTGCACGTGTACGCGGCGTGAGATGCGATGAACTTTCTGGTTTTACATTGCACATAATTTCTCTGAAAATTGGGGTCAGTTTGGTCCAGCAAATAATCTGTGCTCATTCTCATGCACTCTAGGTCTCCTTGATGCACTGCGTGGTATTGGCTCGGCGAGCTACTGGCCTTTTACAGATCTTTTTGTCTTGGGCGACATTTTTATATTGCTGCTACTGCTACTGCTTCCAGTGACCATGTCTGAACGGTGAGTTGTTTCCTCAGTTGTGCTTCGGTTTCATCGTAGTTGGTTTATTCAGGTTTAATTCCGAGATACCCGTCGAAGAAAACAAGACGCGAAGAGGTAGATGAAGGTTGTCTCTGGTGCGCGTTCTGACAACGTTCTCGTCCATCGTATCATTGATCGTAAAGTTATCTTCATGGGTGTCAATTCATGATACTGCATAGTCTTAGCTATAGGGATTTCCCTCGTTCATGGCCGCTGCATGTATATGAACTTTTTCGACAACTTATCGACGTTCATGGAAGATGAATACGGAAATATGCAAGCAGTGAAGATGTTATTCGTAGAACCGGCGTGCGAGATACGTTTATATCACATATAGAATCTTGGGTTGTCCTTAGTCTATCGGCTTGTTTACAAGCTGTTGAAAATCATGTTGTAGAAAATGAGGCAGGTTGGACATTTTTAGGTGAAATGCGTCAAAATATGCTGGCGAATTCTGAAGTTTGTGTCATCGTTTTGGTCCGCAGTGGAACTTGCGCGAACCCAAGCAAAAGGCAGAGGTTAGGCAAACTTGTGCAAAGGTAAGCTTGGTGGTGATGAATGACCGTTGATTTCTTCTCTTCAGATGTGAGGACCTATTTCCGGCGTCAAAGGCTGGGCAATCCAAAGTTTTTGTTGTAGATTTCGGCGGTGGGAAAGCGCCTAAAGATGACTGCTGTAACATGTTGCGAGTAATATCTTCCTCTGCGCGTATGGGCTGATATTTCGGTCAACTTCAGCGCACGGTGAGCTTCAACGTCAATTACGCATACCTGCCCGTCGACAATCCCGTGGTAGCATTGCACTGGGCGAATAAAATATGGATTCCGGCGGTCGCTAAACGTCACAGTTTCGAGAACAATGACGAAGGAACTCGAACATTGTAAGAATATCAGACACAGCTTGCAGTTTTTCATGTTGAATCCCACTCGTGTGAGTCGTATGTTCGCTAGTGTTATTCAGGGTTGGTTGTGTGTCAACTCCTTTGTACAGGTACCGTTTTGCGCTAGTTGTCAACAACTTTGATGGGGTTGATGAATGCGCCTTGCCAGAGATGTTCAACAGCCACTGTCGGGTGATATGGACTACTGCCTGACCTGTTTTGTATCTTGTGATGTTGAGCTTGAGATTTTTCAGGAACACATTGAGAGAGGCACGCAGCTGGTCATCCTGCCACCGAGAGTGTTGATGCCTCCGGGTGCGGCGAAGACGTCGTGGATGGTGGAAGATTTTCTGGTTCAGCGAGAAAACATGTAAGCATCTCAGGAGCAATTCTCTTGCTCTCGTTTAGATTGAGTTTATCAAAAATGCAGGGATTTTTTCTGTTCGACGAGTCGGCAGCTGCAATCTAAATCGATGATATATAATGCCACCAACTACGTATTCATCTTATTCGAGTGTTTTGGTGAAGGCGGATACTTTTGTATGAATTGATTCTACCCGATCATAAAGAATGACTCGTTTTTGTTATCTTCAGCTCGGATTCTTTTCGTGTTTGATATATTCTGTCATTCTCAGTCGTTACATATCGTTCCAAGGCATCTCCGGAACAGTTGTGACGAACCCTCCTAAGTCGCTGTGTCTGTGGGACCGCATCAGCCTTTATAGAGCTGTCTCTGGAGCATCTGGACCACAAAAGGTCAATAAGATCTCTCCAGCTGTCACACTGAGATTCCATTCTCAGGTTTGCTGGCCTTCAGAACTCAACCAGACTCTTGCTCTTAACCAGTTGCATCAAAACGGATGCCGTTCGGAGTTGGCCTCACAACCGGTGGGCTTATTTTCCTGATCTCACATTTCACTTTGTATTCGCATAACTATAGCTAGTGGAGAGGTGAAGTTGACATCTGACGATTCAGCTGATTCTCAGGTAACAGTGACCGCACATAAGGATCTATACGCGAAGTACTGTGCCGACTGGGCTTTACAAGGAAGACTGCTCTGGGAACTGTTCAATTTCAAATGCACAACGTCCAAGATGTGAGTTTTTGGTTGTTGGCTTGGTCGCCCGACATCATGGGGGATTGAAGCGTAACCGATAGTCTTTCTCAGGGCTCTGGGCAAGCTGTGGATACTCGTCGATCAGTACATACCAAAATTCTTCCAGATCATGAGGTATAAGAACGCGGATCATATATTCTCTCTTGTCTTCACTTAACGCTTTTCTGATCGGTGCTGAAACGACCACATGACTCACGTCCATATCTCATTTTGAGGAAAGCTCTTATAGTGTGCTTCTGGCAACTGTGTCGAGAGCTCCTAGCATTATTGGCAACTCGAACTTTCCGCTGTCAGGCCCCTCATGCTGGTTGTCATATTCTTCCGCTCACCATTTGATACCGTATTCATCCTGGTGGTAAGTTCATCGGAACCCATACCCTGGGGGGGGCGGTTCTGACGCGGTTGTCTTCAACATAGATGAAGTTCGCTTCAATGCTTAATGGCGAGATGCACAGTGGCTGTAGCTGATAAAACTCAGTAAATTTCAGTGGTTAGTTTTAGTATTTGCCTATTCCAAGTCGGAATGTGTGAGCGACTTTGGTTTCATGCTGACAGTAGAGTCAGCATCATATGAATATATTGTCAGCTTTGCGATTCGCTTGGTGTAGGTATATCTACTTCTCCTGCTGCCCCTCACGATCGCCATGGTTTCCGCATCATTACGAAGAAACCGGGAGATCAGCCGTCAATGGTCGATGTGAGTATCGAGTGCCAAGACTGATCACGATGAAGACTCTTTGTCTTTCACGTCAGGGCCAGGCTGCTAGTTGTCCTCCCAATAGTAAACGTTATCCGCGAAATATTCTACGCTTACGCTTCATTGTATTACGTTATTTTCACTTACCGTCCATTATACCCTTCAATTGACTATATGTCACGAAAAGTGGGTCTCACTGTCGAAACTTTTCGTCCAAGTGTGTCTATGTTCAGGATTGTGGATCTGGCCTACCACCCTTTCCCGAGGATGGTGGAAGCGGGGTCAACTGGTTCACTATATGGCGCGATCGTGAACGCGAGTAAGAATGTGCTGCTGACTCGCAAAGTGACTCTCCTAACAGACATGTGGAGACAGAGAGCGACTTTGGAGATTCCGAGTCGCAGAATAGCAAGCCTTTATAGAATCTTCGCAGCTGAACATTGTCTCGACAAGTATTCTGCAAAAGCACTTCAGTGACTCTCATTGGCTTGGCCGGCTACCCTCACAATTTTTGAGTATCATTACGATTTTTTCTTTTGATTAGATTTTCTATACTCTGGTTTACAACAAATCACGTCGAAATAGGTCCGGCTTCAGCTGGCGCTTCACGAAAGTTCATGGAATGTTGAGTTACCATCATCATGCTCTATTTATAGAAACCTAATTCCCATAAGTAGCTCGTTCAAACATGGAGTCCTTCACATACGAGTGCCTCCTGGAGATAGTCCGGCGGGGGGAGATGAACGCTATCAGGAAATGCTTCGATCAAGCCGTGAAACGTATGAGCAACTTGAAGCGAGTAAGCATTGTTGGTGTGTTCTGATTCAATACGAGGCGAATCGTGAACCGAATCGACGGATCGTCGATGTGATCGACGGAGCGACGCAGACCGCACGTCGAGTACTTGAACTCTCTCATTATAACTAGAAGTGAGAGGCAAGTGAGGAGTTCAATTTTCCTGGGCGACAGTGTGTTACAGCGTGCGCGTTTTTGCGCATTTCGTTGCTAAGGAATCCCAGGGATGGTCGAAATTGTGTCGTTTGATATCGATTTCTGCTCATGCATTTGCCTGCAAGAGAACACGACTGAATCGATAGTCATGGGAAACCTGATAATGTTAATCGCATGTAACAGCATCCCGATCGCCAATTCACTAGTAGAAATGGCGGGAAGGATGTACAATAGCAATGGATGTAACTTATTCACTATGAATCAAGCTCGGCGCTGTAGAGTTGTGGAATTGGATTGTGAGGGGTTTATTCCATTACAAAATGACAGGAAAATCTGTGGCGACTTATTCGCGTTGAGCTCGCCTATGTTGGTTGTTATTGTGAATCTTGGAAAAGATTCTCTCCGATCGCCTCAGGCTCCGAACGAGTCATTCAATGCCTGGTTATTCGCCGCTCTAGCGGAGCCCGACACTCCTCCAGCTCGCGAAGAGCGGGAGCACTTATTCGTAGGAGTCTCTCGAAAGAGTAAGAGCATATCAGAGCGCATTTCTGTGAATATCGCCGTTTCTATATCTATTTGCTCCGATGACCTATTTAAATTGTCATCGCCGTGTCTTGATCGAATACTGGGAATTTTATCATCGGATGAACTCCACTAGGATATCCTCAGTTTCAGTCTCTCCAAGCAATACTTCACTTGAACATAGCGAGAGTGGATCTTAAACTGCAATCGTTAGGGTTGTATCACGATAGCCTCCTCCGTCTGAAGACTACATCAAATCTCTCTATGAAGTGTCGCTGGTGATTCTTATTCTCTGGATCTGAGCCCGTGGAAGATATAACAACGTTCTTGTTAGTACCGGACTCATCTTCGATCGAGAAATACTTGCAGCGTAGCGGAGCGAAGCTCGTTAACTACAATCCGGATGCAGCTGGTAGGTCCATCATCACGAATTGGTGACAAGAAGCTGTTTTCTTCTACGTGTTACAGAGCTGGGACTAGCGGATGAGAGAAATCTAGCCAGAGAACTTGAAAGACTACTTCGGCGAGAGTTCAACCGAGTGAGATCAGACATGTTGACGAAGTGGCCAGGAGTCGTTCGGGACGTCTCGGAAGCGATTGATCCGGAGCCCTTTGTCGAACGGAGCTGCCCAAGACCAGGGCGGGTGAAGTAAACAGGTGGTGGGTATGGAGGCGTCTGTTGATCAGTAAGCACTTTGAACACCTAATCGAGCGATGAACGTATTTCAAGTGGCGACGAATATGACACAATCTTCCGAGCAGCTGAAGCTGAGCAGCTGAAATATCACGGCGCGTGGTCCACTGTGTTCGAATTGATGCGAAACTGTACTCCTTTCAATGAATACGGGGGGAAGGAGCTACCGAGCGCGATGAACACGAAAAAATGAAAAGGCGAGCTTGATCGAATGGAATAGTACATTCTTGTCATTAGATAGGGTGACCGTGCAATTAAGAGGCAGTGCGCGAGTAGATCTCGGTACATCTCAGCCAACCATATTTATATGGTTTTTGTAAGGTATGCATTGGCTCTCCGAACTGAAGGTCTTCCAGCGGAGTTGGAGAATTTCGTAGTTCGCCAAGTGATCTGCTACGATATTCTGGAGGAGTACGACAATAAGTTGAGAGACAGATATGGAAAGTTCGTCTCAGGTCAAGAGGGAAAATGTCGCGCCTGTAGAATTCCATGCGTGAAACTACATTCTTTCTACTCGATGGAGTCACTTGATGTCACGCACGTCTCTTTCTGAGCGCAGCATACACCATTGAGTGCTGCAATATCCACATTTCGAGTGTATTCTTTCTAAGAAAGTGCCTGTATTTTCGAGCACGCATGATAATGCTTTGTTTTCCCAGGAGTATTTTTCTTTGGCGTGCATGTACTCGATTCGATCCGTTGTGACTCATGTCTATAGTGGCAGTTTGTGGCTTCAGATGAATCCAAAAGTGCCGGCGATATCGACGTTTCTCAGCGTATCTGGCTATTACTGCATCGATACAATACTCTTTTCGGATCGAAATGTGGCGAGGGACGAGGATGGCAGCTCGCTACACCAGCTGAAGCGATGGAGCTCATGCAAGTAAGATTCCATTCAAGAATCTTCGTGTTCTTCTCGGGCTACTGGTGAGTGAACGACACCGAAATATGGCGACGTATCCAGAATGAGCAAGTATCTTTTGTGCAATTCATCAGGTTCGCTATGGTGTGTCGCACGAGTGCTTCGCTTCCCCATTGAATGCAACAATGCCGTCTTTTTGTTCGCTCTTCTATGACACTGACCGCTTCTTTGGGAGTGTCGGGTCCTTCTTCCGACTACCCACGACTGACTTCCCCCACGCCTGTGAGATTGGACCCCCTTATGAGCCAGGCTTGATGTTGAAGGCAGCTCGAAAGGTAGAGAAGATCCTGGCCGAGACCTGTAAAACATTCGTATTCGTTGTTCCCGATTGGGAGGATTGTGAGAGTATTGACACCGTGAAGCAGAGCAAGTATAATGTTGGAAATCTGAGTTTGAGGAAAGAGGAGCATCGATACAAGAATGGTTTCCAACATATGGTAGGAACAATGAAATCATTGGCCAGTATTTTGCCCGTGCTGTATCATTGGTCAAATCGTGTTCTTTTTCCTAGGTGCTCAAAGAATCTCTGAAGCATTCGATGTGCGAGACGCCTACACTAATTGCGTGGCTCAGTACCAGTGGTGTGAAGATATCTACTGACGATTATCAAGAAATGAGACAGTCTTGGCAACCGATGGCCTAAGTTCCTCTACTCGAGTTTGAACTGGAGTTTGTCCAGTAGACGTTGAACGATGTTTCCAGAACTTGAGAAAATTTCGTTAGATGTACTGTAGTAAACGCAATCATGTCGATGTGCCTCCTAAGGGTACGTAAATGCGAAACAGGAAGCCGTTCCCTTGGTCACTCTGGTACGTGACGAGCTACTGTTGCGATGCAAATACTATTGCGCAAGATGAACCTGTTCATTCAATGGAACCGTGGTGTTATTACCACACTGAGATATACTAGGATCGTTGGGATCGCCGGCGCCGATCTATCCGCATATATCTCATTTAATTCAACGCGTGGTACTTCCCAGTTGCATCACAACTCATCACTTACGCTTCATTCAGGGTATCAGACAACTCAAGAATACAATTCAAGTTGAGTATGACAACAGCGTGGATCACAGAACAACCACAAAGGTGTCCTGTGGTTACCGACATTCCAGCTCGAGATAACTGCTGCGGTGGTCGAAGTAACCCTGTACTGGACTGGAAATCTAGCGTAGCATGCAGGGTTGACAGGTTCCCAATGAAAGCTCTTCATGTATGCAGATTTTCGTGCACAATGTTCGGCACGATGAAGGACGACTACGACACGGAGAGAACTAAGGTATCCGCGCCGCTAGTCTAAAGGTTATGACATCTGTCTGCCAAACGGATGATCCGGGTTCAATTCCCGGGCGGCGCAGTCATATATTGTATCTATACCAAGTGTAGACTGGTCGTCTTATTGACCAATCCTACATTAAGCCATCACTACATCACTTAAAATGATGAAAAAGCTAGCTCGGACGCACGATCGAGGACGGGCCTCGCTATGACGAACAAAGCAAAAAACTAGCACGATGAAGGTAAAACTTATTTGGCTACAAGAGCAAATTTTTCTGACTATCCAATCATTTCTATCATCATCCCGAAACTAACCATCGAATGATGTCAAACAGGCTCCGAGAATAGAATTTGCCAATCCTTTGAAAGGCCGAGCGAGGGGACACACTCGTGAGCGTCAATTACGTATCATGAACTATAATATTGATCGGGTTGGAGACAACGAGAACACAGACTAAGTTCCGGCTAAGGCTGAAGACAAGTCTCGTTCTTGAAAGTATGTCAATCAGTATTGTAGTTTGCTAGGGAGGATGCTTCGAATATCGTTCTTGAGTCGTCATTTGATTATTTGACGAATTCGTGAATTTGACGAGCATACATAACTCGGGAGGGAAAACAAATCTTGCCGCTAGTTTGTGTTGCGCTAAGCAGTGCAGGATCTTCCAGGGTCTGCTACCAAAACGTGATTCCTAACATTGAAAGGCGAGCCGAGGTACGCACCGTATATTCAGATTCCATTATTAATATTGATTGACGAAATAATCATGGTTAATCATCTCGTCGAAACCTGGCTATCAACTGATTTCTACAGAAGCACGAAGAATGAGGCGGCCAACTTTAGCGACGAGGAAGTGAAAACTCATCTCGAACCAAAGAACCGCTTGGAGTTCGGCACTGCTGGCCTCCGTGGTATAATGGGTGCTGGGTATGATCGGATGAACTGCCTTACGGTGCTTCAAGCCTCTCAAGGTCTGTGTGTCTACCTTGAGGATGCGTATGGTAAAGAAGCTATGGCTGAACGCGGGGTTGTTCTTGGCTTCGATGGTCGGCATAACTCCCGTCGCTTCGCACATGTTGCAGCTGCAGTGTTCCTGTCGAAGGGTACGAAGGTGTATCTTATCGACAAGAGCCCTAGCGTAACCCCTTTGAATGCATATTTGGTGAAGCACTTACACGCCTTATGTGGTGCTCAAATGACGGCCTCGCACAACCCGAAGCAATACAATGGCTACAAGGTTTATGGGGTTAATGGAGCTCAGATAGTTCCTCCGGTCGATTCGGAAGTGGAAAGCAGAATTCAAAGCAATATGAAGCCATGGCAGAGAGCTCTGGATCTGCTTGATCCGGAGTGTCACTTGAAGAATATGTCCATGACTATCGATCCTTATGCGGAGGCTGTTTATGCTTATACTGACCAGATCTGGAAGGAATTGTGCAGGTACCCCGATTTGAACACCCAGTGCGAGCTTCATTTCGTGTACACTCCTATGCATGGTGTAGGTCTTCCTCAAGCAATCGGGTTACTGAAGAAATTCGGTTTCCCAGAAAAGTGTTTCTCAGTCGTCTCTGCACAAGCCCACCCAGATCCAGAATTCCCGACAGTAGCCTACCCTAACCCTGAGGAGAAGGGAGCCCTGGACATGGCGATGTCCCAAGCGCAGTTGGAGCGCGCAGACTATGTGCTTGCTAACGACCCTGATGCTGATCGGTTCACAAGTTGCGAGAAGCAGGAGGATGGTTCGTGGCACCGTTTTGGTGGTGACGAACTCGGCATTCTTTTCGCTGATTGGCAAATTCGTATGGCAAAGCGCCGTGGTGTCGATACGAAGAATTGTCTAGTGGTGAACTCGACGGTATCTTCTAAAATGCTAAAGGCTCTTGCGGATAGTTATGGCGCTCACTTCGTCGACACTCTTACTGGTTTCAAGTGGTTGGCAAACTTAGCGATGGAGATGACTGACGAGGATCCGGAGTTGGTCTACTGCAACGCCTATGAAGAATCTCTTGGAAGCGGTTTGACCATGACAGTCCCAGACAAGGATGGTATCAGTGCTTGCAGTGTGTGGTGTGAGATGGCTAACTATTACCGCCGTGACGAAGGTATCACTCTGTACAAGAGGTTGGAGCAAATACGTGATAAAGTTGGGTACTTTGCCCAACACAATAGTTTCTACGTATACAATGATCCCGAGGTGCTGGTTCGTATGTTTGACGAATACCGAAATAACGGTGAGTATAAGAGACAACTCGGATCTTGGAAAGTGGTTGATGTCCGTGACGTTACTCGCGGTTATGATTCGAGAACGGAGGATAAAAAGTCCACTCTGCCGGTCACGCCTGATGAGCAGATGTTGACTCTCTACTTCGATAACAGTGGTGTTGCGACTATTCGGGCTTCTGGTACAGAGCCCAAGGTGAAATACTACTGTGAGATCAGTGACAGAACTAGTATGAAAGAAGCTCAGAAGAAGCTTGATGATTTAGTCAAAACGATTGTTGACTTTTTTCTCCAGCCGGAGAAATATGGCTTGACAAGTCGATGAAGCTCTTTACAAAATATCATTGTCAATACATTCAGTAAACTATTTTTCAACTCTCGATAGTCTCTGTTGTGTCCAGTCACCTCTTCACCGTACCAAGTTTATATCCCGATTGTTATTGTGCGAAGTTATTGTGCGAAGTTACTGTTTTACAGCTGCCATGATCGAATTCTGGGGACGTTGCTTTTAGTCTCAAAGATGTAACGAAACCCGACTGATGCAATCTCAGTCATTGGCATTTCGATAAGATGTACATATCCTACGAAACAATATTTGGCAATATTCGGAAACACTGTTCATCTACACCGAAACATGCATGGGATCTTTACCGATCCCGGAGGATACTACGAAGTGGACTTCTCTCATCTAGCTTCCGCAGCAGAGGAGTAGCGTTGCCACTATACATCCCTTCGGAGGAGTTGATATCGGGATGCCGAATGTCATGGATTGTGTCAATCATAGCGGCTTCTCTTGAACCGCGTTCGTAGCGTTCGAGGAATATGACACTCCCGGATGGGTTCCAGCTCGATACGTAGCACGAAGCGATGTCTCCGACCTGAAACGGTTGGATCGAAGTGAGGGAACGACAGCGAAACTCCAGGCACTTCCAAATCTTGCATCCTTGCCATACTCTCAGGTCGACAAACAACACCCTGTCGACCACAGTTGAGCTTGAAGTACCTGAGGACTCGGGCCCGTGTGCCTGTCCTAAGGAGACCCCCGGACTTGGTCTCGAGCGTCACCACACAACGATACGCAGGTGAGAACACTACATTCCACTAGAATTTACTGCAGTGAGCAGCGCGTCCAGACGTCGCCCTCGCTTTTCCAACTCTCTCGGTCGCCGAATGTGCTCATTCAAGTGACAATAGGCTACATGCTCCTCGCTTCGGGCCATAACGTCTGACTCGTCTAGGAGAGTCATCTTGGACGACGGCGAACTGCCTGAAGACGAAGCCACTATCTGGATCTTGATATCCAGTTGGTTCGAATTTCTCCCGTGCCGTTGCAGTTGGTGTGAGACGAACCTCGATCACAAGTAGAAGTGAATTGCGCAGCTTAAATGTCGCACGAGTAAACTTTGTATGCTGATGAACCCATTAGCCCCTCACTGTCATTAACGGGAAATACTCCCGGGCGTGACATGAGCTCCCGGAGGAGCGGCAGACACATCACATCGCGTGCTGCATAAGAGATCATATCGGGTTGCAGGGGACGATAGAACCACACGTTGGGATCTTGGGCCATCTTAGTCACGACTCCTTCTATTGAAGCTTCCCCCTTGATCGTGCCAAGTCGTGTACCAAAGATTTTCACAGCGAGATCGTCCAGAGAGATATGATAGAGCGATTGGGATTGCTGCTTAAGCAGGAGCTGAAAAGCGATACCGCATAATTGCAAACATTCGAACGCGAGCAAATTTCAAGTAGCAAACGTTCATCGAGTTTTGATACCGTAATGGAAACAAAATTATATCAAACATGTATAATTCAGTTTCCACTCAAGTAGTTAATGTGTTGAACCAAAAGACGACTCTACGCCTGAGAGTGAATCGCTGAAGATCGTTATGCACCAAAGAGTTTGAACGAAGATCTCCCACGGCAAAATAAAAAGACTTTCGAGCTACACGAGCAGTATATTTTCTCACCAGATGTGCTGCTTGAGTGTCATATACACCTCCGAGTTTTATGGAAAACTGCTCCCATAACGCAGCCGAATCCTCTCGGCAATCGTGCAAGACCTTTTTTATGTGGTTTGCTTCCAGGACCGGCCTCAAACTGTGAATTACACCGGATCGCAATGCGTCACATACGAATACCGTATCGCCTGCAGATATTTGCAGCACACATAAACGACCCCATCGAGAGAGCCCAACGCCCTCACAGTCCACACCTATCACGTCATTAGCCAGAATGGAGGGGAGAGCCGCTTTCGCCTTCTCAGCAGTGTCAATGAACCCGAGGTATTTCGGTAGCCGAGTTCGCACTCTGTTGTCACTGAGAATGGCCGCGAGACCCTGTCGGAGCGGTTCTACAGTAGTCTCCGGAATAAGTGCTACTGTGTAACGCGAAGGGTCTTCACCATCACGCGAGTGACTGCTAAACCACCGCAATTTCCCCCGGAGAGAGGTCACCCTAGTGCGGTTAAAGTAGAACATGCTCAGGTGAAGTAACTGAGTCACCGAAGGAATTATGGAATACATATACGAGTTGTTATGGAGAGCGAGGACGGCTCAATTTCCGTTGGCCAGAATCGTCGGCAAAAAATTAACAAAGCGCGACAGACAAGACATTGTAATCAAGACTATTCAGAATATTGGGAATGATGAACGATATCGCTCAAGTTTCTGAGGAGGAATTCGCGAACGAAATTGAGAGGTGAACCGGTTTCACATTGAGACGTTACTGAAGGCAATTTTCACTTCGTGTGCATTTCAGGGATCCACTAGACTCAGGTGACGTCAACTACAGTACTGAACAGTACGAGATTCGGCATGCAGGACCCCGACCCTGACCTTGTCAGGACCGGTCATATCTTGCACTCTTGGTCCATCTAGCAGGACGCTCCGGAAATTCCTTGTCCAGAGTGTATGCGTGCAATTGATTCAAACGTGCAGCTGAGTTCACATTTCATCGGCGCTTAAGTTGATCTTTAGCCTGCATGACTAGAGAGTCTTTCGTCTTTCTACGAAGCACATCCCACGAAGTTCGATCACTTCAATCTTCTGAACTTGGCACTACATGGTAGTATGCGCAACAATCGTACGGGCGGCACTCCTGAACTGCCTTGTTGTTAGTATTAGTAATATAACTGTTGATAGCAGTTCTGGTAGAACTCGCTGTGGCACGCTGAGTGACCTCGAGTTTTGATTTCCCCGTCGTTTCGTCAGGTGGATCATCGTGGTAATCATCGTGATTTTGATCGGTGGAATAGCGGCAGTGCTAGTGTGGCAGCGCCTGAAGGGCGTTTCATCGCCTTTCATGTCCCGAACGTGGGATTCACATGCATCTTGTCAAATTTGTGGCCGAGAAAGGTACGAAGGGAACACTTGCGGTTGTTTTTCTCTGATATCACTCGTAAGTGAATATAGTTCGCTCTCGGGAGGATTGAAATTTCTCATCATTGAGACTTGGTTAAACGGAACTTCTTCAAGAAATGTTCGTACCATATTGCAGACGCCATTCGTCGGAAAATGTTGGTGGATTCGCGCATGCTTCTATGGCGGGCTCGCTTGTCACCAATGATGATCATCTAGGATACATATCAGCCACACGATAGCCTGTGGTATCCTCCGCGATCTTTTTGTACCATTGTTCTTTATTGTGTTGTTCTTTCATGGTCACTCGACTCGTATGTTCAGGCGCGTACCTCCGGAGCTGATGGACCATGTTGAGGACTTCGTTTGTCGTGAGTGTGTCCGCGCCGCTTTCCCTGATCTCGACAACCCCCAAAGGGACCCAGACATTGATGACCCGAACATGGAAGAATCACTGAGGAACTCCGAGGTAGACCAAAAGATGCGCGAAGTGGTTTTGATTGGATCTGTTTCACAGGCGCCTCCCCCGCTGAGTCTTGAGGAGATCCAACGCAGAGAACGTCTTTCAGCGATGAGGCGTGCTCAATCTCAGACCTTTAAGATAAAAAGGTAGTTGCTCGTTGGTAATACAAGGACACTATCGTTTCCGCGCTTCACGATGACCTCTACTTTCTTCCGTGTGCGCAGTGCGAAGATGCGATACCAGTAAGACCTCCATTCGGGTTTAGTTGCCCTTCATTTTCAAAGTCACTAGTCGTGTTAGATGAATTGAACGTGAATATATCAGC